CTGAAGGGGCTCCAGGAGAGCTGGAGAGGGACTGGGGACAAGGGATGGAGGGACAGGAGCCAGGGAATGGCTGCCAGTGCCAGAGGGCAGGGATGGGTGGGAGATTGGGAATTGGGAATTCCTGGCTGGGCTGGGATTGCCAGAGCAGCTGGGGCTGCCCCTGGATCCCTGGCAGTGCCCAAGGCCAGGCTGGACACTGGGGCACCCTGGGACAGTGGGAGGTGTCCCTGCCATGGCAGGGGTGGCACTGGCTGGGATTGAAGCCCCTCAGCCCCAGAATTTGTGTGTGGGGAGGGCTGGATAAGCCAAGGGCCCTCCTGCTGAGGAGCAGCAGAACCACTGCAGCTTTCCTGGCTCTGTTTCCCCCCAGATCCCCAAGCAAGACGTGGCCTATGCTGAGGACAGTTTCTGCGTGGGGGATGAGGAGGAGGAGGAGGAGGAGGAGGCTCCCAGTGGCTGCAGTGAGGAGGAAGAGTGTGTGGATTTTGAGCTGCTCACCAGGGAGGGCAGCAGGCAGCGGTACCTGACCCGCAGGAGGAGGAGGCTGAGCCAGGCCCGGCGGGCAGGGAACGCTCCTGCCCCCCTGCAGAAGAAGAAACCTTCCAGAATCATTGTCCTGAGTGACTCCAGCGAGGAGGAGATGGGAGCCAGCAGGGAGAGGCCCCTGGAAGCGGGGCAGGGCAAGGGGCAGCTCCCCAAGGCTCTGCCCTCAGCCCCCTCTGCACAGCCCAGGAGCGGGGCTGGGGAAGCCACAGCTCCTCAGGCTGGGGGGCAGGACACAGAGAGGCTGCTGGGCCTGGAAGCTTCCATGGCTGGGATGCTGGATCCACCCCCAGAGCAGCCAGGCAGGAGCACATCCATCCCCCCAGCTGGATCTGGCTGCAGGAACCCGGCTCTGCAGGCTGCTGCTGAGGTCAGTGCTCAGGGAAAGCAGGGAGCTTCCTTGTGGGAGAGAATTCCTGTGCCAGGGCTCTTCTGAGGGCTGGCAGCAGCAGGAGTCAGGAATCATGGAATGCTTTGGGTTGGAAGGGACCTTAAAGCCCATCCCATTGCACCCCTGCCACGGGCAGGGGCACCTTCCATAGACCAGGTTGTTCCAGCCTGGCCTTGGACATTCCCAGGACCATCTCCCTTTCCTTGCTTCTAGAGGCTTTCTACTCCCAGGGTAACCTGGAGTATTTCAGGAGTGAACAAATTAAAACTGGGATTAGATTCTCCCTTGGTCATGGAGGATGGTGGAACAGCAGTGTGCACTGATTCTTTGGGTTTGTATAGAAAATCCTGGTTTGAATGCAGGGCTTTCAGCACCTCCCTGAGGTTGGATTCCTGATCTCTCACACTTCCCAGCCTGATCTCTGTCTTTTACAGGATCCAGGTTTTGTTGAACTTCTCAGTGAAAGCTGCTGCTTTTGTCATCCAAACTTTGGGATAATCAGCTCAGCTCAGTGGGGAGATTGATACAGGGATTAAAGTGTCAATCTGAAAGTGTTGATACTGCAAAACATCCTTTTATTGATTTGATGTAAAACTCCCACAATCTGTGATTTTCAACACTCACAGGTGTCCACCTCTTTGAAGACCCACGGGAGCAGCTCAGGCTCGGTGTGTCCCGCTGTCCCAAACCCTTCCTCAGCCACGGCTCGGATTTCCAGCGTTCCCAGTGAGCACAGCCCCTCCCCGGCTGGGATATCCCGTGTTCCAGGGGAGCACAGCCCCTCCCCGGCTGGGATATCCCGTGTTCCCAGTGAGCACAGCCCCTCCCTGGCTGGGATATCCCGTGTTCCAGGGGAGCACAGCCCCTGCCTGGCTGGGATATCCCGTGTTCCAGGGGAGCACATCCCCTCCCTGGCTGGGATATCCCGTGTTCCAGGGGAGCACAGCCCCTCCCCGGCTGGGATATCCCGTGTTCTAGGGGAGCACAGCCCCTCCCCGGCTGGGATATCCCGTGTTCCTGGGGAGCACAGCCCCTCCCTGGCTGGGATATCCCGTGTTCCCAGTGAGCACAGCCCCTCCCTGGCTGGGATATCCCGTGTTCCAGGGGAGCACAGCCCCTCCCCGGCTGGGATATCCCGTGTTCCCAGTGAGCACAGCCCCTCCCTGGCTGGGATATCCCGTGTTCCCAGTGAGCACAGCCAGGGAGGGGCTGGGATATCCCGTGTTCCTGGGGAGCACAGCCCCTCCCTGTGCATCCTGGCCGACAGCCGGGAGATCTGCTCGGGGCCGGAGGTGCTGTCGTGCCTGCGGGCGGGGCACGGGCTCCGGGTGCAGGTTTGCTCCCTGGGCAGCAGCGATTACATCGTCAGCAACCGCCTGGCCGTGGACAGGGTGCTCCAGTCGGAGCTGCAGAACCCCGGGAACAGGAATAAACTCAGCCAGAGGCTGCAGCGCCTGCAGGGCATCTTCGAGAGGATCTGTGTGATTGTGGAGACAGACAGGGTCAGGCCAGGTGGGTGCTGCCAGAACGCCCTGCTCTGAGGGACACGGGGAATGGCTTCCACTGCCAGGGGGCAGGGATGGATGGGACATTGGGAATTGGGAATTCCTGGCTGGGAGGCTGGGGAGGGGCTGGCATGCAATTCCCAGAGCAGCTGTGGCTGCCCCTGGATCCCTGGCCAGGTTGGACACTGGGGCTGGGAGCAGCCTGGGACAGTGGAAGGTGTCCCTGCCATGGCAGTGCTGGGATGGGATGGGATGGGATTTAAGGTCCCTCCCAACCCAAACCATTGTGGGATTCCATGTCAAGAGCAAGCACAACTTCATCCACGCACAGACATTTGTTTTAATCCAGAAATCCAAACCCTGCAATGAAATTATTCCACTGGACAATAACAGATCTTGCTTTCCTGTGCTTCCACTCCTCAGGAGAAACATCCCGGTGTTTCCAGAGGACTCAGCACTACGATGGAATGCTCTCAGCCTTGGTCCAGGCTGGAATAAGGATCCTCTTCAGCTCCTGCCAGGAGGAAACTGCAGCTTTGCTGAAGGAGCTGGCTCTGCTGGAGCACAGGAAGGACGCTGCCATCCAGGTGCCAACGGAGCCGGAGGGGCACCGCCGGGACATCCTCAACTTCTACCTGAGCATTCCCAACCTCAGCTACGGAGCTGCCCTCAACCTCTGCCACTCCTTCAGCTCCATCACAGCCGTGGCCAACAGGTAAGGCCAGCACAGGGCCTGGCAGGGGCTCCAGGGCCCAGCCTTGCACTCCTTCTCCTCCCCTGGAGCCAGGGCGAGCCTTCCTGCACCTTCCCTGCCGGGATAGCTGCTCAGGGAATCCCTTCCTGTACCTTTCCTGCCGGGATGGCTGCTCAGGGAATCCCTTCCTGCCGGGATCACTGCTCAGGGAATCCCTTCCTGCACCTTTACTGCCGGGATGGCTGCTCAGGGAATCCCTTCCTGCACCTTCCCTGCCGGGATGGCTGCTCAGGGAATCCCTTCATGCTGGGATCACTGCTCAGGGAATCCCTTCCTGCCGGGATAGCTGCTCAGGAAGAGCCCTTCCCACCCTCTCCCAGGATCTGTCCTGTCCCATCTCAGCTCTTCACACATTCTTGTCTCTGACGCTGAGCAGCCCGGGGTACGACACGGGCTCTGCTTCCACCCTCCCTCCTGCTGCCCCTCGCTGTGTTTCCCTCTGGCATTCCCTGTTTTTACTGCTCAAGTGTGCTGCCCACGCTGGGCACCTGTGCCGAGGTGATTGCAGCAGCTCCCGGTGCTGCCCCAGCCCGGGCCCGGGGCTCTCGGTGCTGCCCCATCCTGGCTCCGGGGCCTCCCGGTGCTGCCCCATCCCGGCCCCGGGGCTCCTCCCGTTCCCTCTCTTGCAGCTCGGTGCCGGCGCTGGCGGCGGGGGCGCGGCTGAGCCGGCCCCAGGCCGAGGAGCTCCATCGCTTCCTGCGCCACGACTTCGACCCGCAGCTGCTGCCGCAGCCCCTGCCCGCCAAGGGGAAGGGCTGAGCTCGGCACTCCGGGCCCTGCACTGCACTTTACCCAGTCGGGATTGGATGTAAATGATGTAAATAAACACTTGTCAAACCTCAGGGCGTGGGAGCTGCTCTGCCCCGGCTGGCACTGCCCCGTGTGTCCCCAGGGTCCCTGGGCCGGAGAAGAGCACAGCTCTGGGGGGGACGTGACCATCCCCAATTCCTGTAAAAACCACAGTAAAGCTTTGGGGAGTGATGCTGAGGAGCCCAGCAGCAGCTCCTGCCAACAGTGAGCCCCGCGTTTCCAGGTTAAAACGGGAATTGCCGGTGTTCCATGTTCTGGGGGGCCCCGGGGCAGCGCCGCCCCCGTCCTTTGGTGCCTCTGCCCGGCCTCAGGTGCCCGATCCTTCCCCAGCCTCTGCTGCCACCGGCTGGAACAGCACGGGATCGCTCGCTGTCCCCGGAGCGCCGGGCAGAGGCTGAGCTGGGAGAAATCCAGGCCTGGAGCGGGAGCTGTCCTGGGCAGCCGGGTCAGCCCCTGCTGAGACCCCGCCTGCAGAGCTGCCCAGCCCTGGACAGGGTCCAGAGGAACCCATGGGGCTGCTCCAGGGCTGGAGCCCCTCTGGAGCCAGGCTGGGAGAGCTGGGAATGCTCCCCTAGAGAGGAGAAGGCTCCAGGCAGAGTTCAGAGCCCCTGGCAGGGCCTGAAGGGGTTCCAGGAGAGCTGGAGAGGGACTGGGGACAAGGGATGGAGGGACAGGAGCCAGGGAATGGCTCCCAGTGCCAGAGGGCAGGGATGGGTGGGAGATTGGGAATTGGGAATTCCTGGCTGGGCTGGGATTGCCAGAGCAGCTGTGGCTGCCCCTGGATCCCTGGCAGTGCCCAAGGCCAGGCTGGACACTGGGACACCCTGGGACAGTGGGAGGTGTCCCTGCCATGGCAGGGGTGGCACTGCAGGGGATTTAAAAGTTCCCACCCAATGCATTCTGTGATTCCAAAGCAAGAGGATGAGGCCTTGCAGGCACCATTCCAAGCTGGACAGCTCCTGGATTCTGCTGCCCCACAACAACTCTGAGTAATCTCTGAGTAAAAAAAAGCTTCTCTTTATTTATTACATTAAGGAAATGTAAAAATTCAAGCTGGCCCTAGAGTAAATTAAAAAGCAATTTCAGTTCCTTCTGGACTGCTGCTAAATTTATTATACAACCATATCCCAGAAGATATTTTAGCTTAAAATGAATCAAAACTTGGCAGTCATTGGTATCTATGTACATTTCTCCTTCCCAGGAGAAGCAGGACATGGAGGGGAGGAGCCTGGACACGGAAATGCCACTTGGTACACATGGAAAAGCCAAGCATTGGTAGGAGGGTGGGAATGGAATAAAAACACATAAAACCATAGCAGGGCAGCTTTTCCAAACTAAAATCATTCCAGTATTCCCTCCAGAGGGGCAGCAGAACCCCCATGCTCTGAACAGCAAGTGCTGAACAAGACATCCACAGAGTCCATCACATGGAAAAGTGGGAAATACTGAACAAGACATCCAGAGTCCATCACATGGAAAAGTAGGAATCCTGCTCCTCACTGGATGAGTTTGGAGTCTCAGCCGTGAAGAGCTTCCCCACCACTGGGGCCGGGGTCACTCCTGCAATAAAAACAGGGATCATCAGAGGATGTGCCAGAGGGAAACGGGGCAGAAAAGGTTCAGAGAGCAAAAGGCTGATGGGACACAGCTCATGGTGATGGAGAAGGAAGGGAAGGAGCTGGAAATGAGGAGGAGGAGCCAGGAATACTCACTCTTGGTTCTGCAGGAAGCCGGTGTCTCGTGCACAGCTCCAGCCTGAGGGAGGGAGGGAAGGGAAGAGATTCAGCCAGGGCTGACAGCAGCTCAGGGTCCCCATTTCCCAGAATTTCCACAACTGCTTTCCCTGAACCACAGGCACAAGCTACTCCCAGGATCACAAGTGCAGAGCATGGGAGAGTGGAAGAACTGATACCTAAATTCAGGGATACAAGGCTGACTTATGGTCACTGTCAGGAGTTGGACTGGTGATCCTTGTGGGGCCCTTATGGGTACCTCAGGATATCCTATGGTTATTGTTCCTTTTCCCACTGTTCAGAGCAATTTAACAAGAACCTAAAGACCACGGAATTCCAAACCAATTCCAAATCCTGACTAAAAGCAATGGAGTTAATCCTGACAGTGAAGAGCTCCCCTCTCACAAAGGAACTTCCCTCCACAGCAGCAGATACCAAACCCAGGGAGGGCTCCCATTTTCCATCCAGAGCATACAGGGGGCTGTGATGCCAGGATTGTGTCCCCTGTGGCCAAGCTGTGCCTGGCTCAGGTGGCAGTGGCAGAGTCCAAGGAAAGCAGCATTACCGACTTCTTCTTGACCTTGTCCCAGGTGCCTCGGCTGCCCTGGGTGTTCTTCTGCATGCGGAACACGTGCCGGTCGTAGTCATTCCTGGCCACAAGGGAGAGGGCTCAGCAGGGCTGGACCCCTGCCCTGGAACCTCTGCAGGCAGCCAGGGAGCCCCAGAGCTCCAGCTCCCACAGGGAACGAGCAGGGCTGGGGCAGAGCCTGCACATCCCAGGGCAGGGATCACAGAGAGCCTCAACCCCTCCCATGGCTGCACATCCCAGTGCAGGGATCACCCTGAGCCTCATCCCCTCCCAGGGACTGCACATCCCAGTGCAGGGATCACCCTGAGCCTCATCCCCTCCCAGGGACTGCACATCCCAGTGCAAGCATCACACTGAGCCTCATCCCCTCCCATGGCTGCACATCCCAGTGCAGGGATCACCCTGAGCCTCATCCCCTGCCATGGCTGCACATCCCAGTGCAGGGATCACACTGAGCCTCATCCCCTCCCCTGGCTGCACATCCCAGTGCAGGGATCACCCTGAGCCTCATCCCCTGCCATGGCTGCACATCCCAGTGCAGGGATCACACTGAGCCTCATCCCCTCCCATGGCTGCACATCCCAGTGCAGGGATCACAGAGAGCCTCATCCCCTCCCCTGGCTGCACATCCCAGGGCAGGGATCACACTGAGCCTCATCCCCTCCCAGGGACTGCACATCCCAGTGCAGGGATCACACTGAGCCTCATCCCCTGCCATGGCTGCACATCCCAGTGCAGGGATCACACTGAGCCTCATCCCCTCCCATGGCTGCACATCCCAGTGCAGGGATCACAGCGAAGCCTCATCCCCTCCCCTGGCTGCACATCCCAGTGCAGGGATCACACTGAGCCTCATCCCCTCCATGGCTGCACATCCCAGTGCAGGGATCACACTGAGCCTCATCCCTTCCCCAGGCCCAGCCCATGTGACAAAACCCCAGTGGCTCCAGGTTCCCAGGTGGTTCTGGTTATCTGAGCAGAGCCTGAAGCCCTGGGTGAACAGGGCAGGACTGAAGGCTCTGCTGAGGCTGAAGGCCAAGCCAGGGCCATTCCCAGGGCTGGGAGCAGGAGCTGCCCACAGGGAGCTGAGCAGCTCCAGCAGCACACAGGGCTGCAGGGAAGAGCTTTTCCCAGGCACAGCAAGGCTGCAGGAGTGGTGGAAGTGAGCTGCTGTCCCAGCCCCAAAGCCACCTTTCTCAGGGACAAAAAGGGATCTTGGGCAATGCCCACAGAGAGCTGGTGGAAGAGCTCCTACCTGTTGATGGGGACCAGCATTCCCGGGCTGATGTGCTCACACTGTGGGGTTTTCACAGGGGGAAAGAGGCCTGAGGAGGGCGTGAGCGGGAGCTCGGAGAGGGCGAAATCCTCGGTGTCCCCGTCCTGGCTCCCTCGCAGTGCTGGCAGCTGTGGAGCCACCCCAGAGCTGTCACTCACCTGAGCCTGGAGCGCCTCTCCCCCCTCCCAGCACTCCCTCCATTCCTCCCTGTCCCTGCTGAGGCACAGCCCCAGCCCCGTGCCCAGAACTGGACACGACCCTGCACCTCCACCTTGGTCCGAGTGCCCCTCCAGATCCTGCCCAGCACTTGGCCGAGGGGTTTTGGTGCTGCCACACCCTCAAAAAGTCATTTCTGGTTACAATCCCAATCTCCAAGCTGCCCAGGACTGCTCAGAAGGACGATGGCTCAGGTGGTGCTGTCACCATGCAGAGGCTCCTCCCAGCCTGTCCAATCTTCTCACTGCCACCAGCCAAGGGCTGCTACAGCACGTGAAGGAAAGCAGGCTCTTCCCACAGATCCCCAGGGCTGTGCTGGTGGAACTGGAGCAGCCCCCTGGCACAGCCAGCAGGAGAGCAGTCCCACAGGAGCTGCTGTCCCACGTTTACCTGGACCCTCCTCTTCTGGAGGGGTGTTGCAGTGAAGACGTCGTCGTGGTTGTCCTTGGGCAGGTGCTCCAGGAACTCCCTCATCTGCTGCTTCCGTTTGAGGGTGCCCACCTTGGCAGTGATCACTGGCTCCCTCTTATCTGCAGGACCTGAACAGGAATTGTCTCAGACAGCAGCCATGGGGTTAAAATCCACTGCCACAGGCAGTGCCACAGCCCAGCCCATGCTCTGGTGAAATCTCTTACAGCTTCTTTAGGATCCTTTTGAGTTCTCACACAGTTTTTGCTTTCCAAAGCAGCTTCCCCACTCCATCTTCAGGGGAGGGTCACTGCAGAGCCTCCCAGAGCTGCTGCAGGGTCACACATCAGGTTCATTGTGACACAAGTGTGCTCACATGTGCCTTGCAGAGAGCAAACCCACAGCTGTGTCCCTGTGCCAGGAGGCAGCAAGGCTCAAAGCTCTGCTGCTCAGGGACACTTGCACTGAAGCCAGGCTCAGGAATGCTCAGTTCAGCTTGTGTCCATGGCAAACCTTAATCCAACCCAGCCCCAAATGAAGCTGCAGTGTGGGAATGGCAAACACCCAGAGAAGGGGACCAGACTGCCCTTGGGCATCCAAGGACCCAAATCCCACCAGGACAGAGCTCTACAAGGAGCTCGTGACCTGCTGGGCCTCCAGGAGCCTCTCAGGATGTCAAGAGCTCTTTCTCCAGAGGGGGGAAGGCCAGAGAAAGTCTTCCTCTCATGCCAACAACTGGAAAACTCTACAAGAGCAAGGTTCTTTCCTTTCTTTTCTTGTCTCCTCAGTCATTCATGATATCCTCCAACCTCCACAGCAAAAGGTGACCCAGCTCACTGCCACACCCTGACGTGCTCTTCTGGATTTATCCCATGGGAGTAGAACTGGTGAGGCTGGAAAAGCCCTCCCAGCCCATCCAGTCCAACCCATCCTTAGCACTGCCCCATGTCCCCAAGTGCCACATGCACAGGGCCTTGAAATCCCCCCGGGATGGAATAAAAATCCTCTATTTCTGGGCATCACACTGCAACACCCAGGGATGGGCACTGCAACCCTCCCTGGGCAGTTCCTGAGCCCCCTTTGCATGGGGAAATTCCTGCTGTGCCCACCCTGAGCTGCCCTGGCCCAGCCTGAGGCCGTTCCCTCTGCTCCTGTCCCTGTGCCCTGGAGCAGAGCCCGACCCCCCCGGCTGTGCCCTCCTGGCAGGAGCTGTGCAGAGCCACAAGGGCCCCTGAGCCTCCTTTGCTCCAGGCTGAGCCCCTGCCCAGCTCCCTCAGGGATTCTGCAGCCCCTGCCCAGCTCCCTCAGGGATTCTGCAGCCCCTGCCCAGCTCCCTCAGGGATTCTGCAGCCCCTGCCCAGCTCCCTCAGGGATTCTGCAGCCCCTGCCCAGCTCCCTCAGGGATTCTGCAGCCCCTGCCCAGCTCCCTCAGGGATTCTGCAGCCCCTGCCCAGCTCCCTCAGGGATTCTGCAGCCCCTGCCCGGCTCCCTCAGGGATTCTGCAGCCCCTGCCCGGCTCCCTCAGGGATTCTCCAGCCCCTGCCCAGCTCCCTCAGGGATTCTGCAGCCCCTGCCCAGCTCTGTTCCCTTCCCTGGACACGCTCCAGCCCTTAGTGTCTGGATGAGAATCATTTCCCACCCACCCAACATGCAGACAGAAGATGCTGGTACCTTTCTTCTCAGGTTTTCCTGACGTGGTTTTCCTGGGCTGCTGTTTGTTTGCTTTCCCCTGCTGCTCCTCCAGGTACTTCCCCTGGCACTCCTGGGCCGAGCGGGACCCCACGGCCATGGCCACCTCCTGCCAGAAGCCGCTCCTGTGCTTGGGGAACGCTGTGATGGCCCTGCGGGGACAGCAGGGACACGGTGTCACCCGTGGGCACAGCCCTGGCACCTGCCTGGGAACCACCTGGGCCATGCCCTGAGGCAAGCTGCCTCTGGCCTCTTCTTGCCCCCTCTGCATCCCTGGCAGTGCCCAAGGCCAGGCTGGACATTGGGACACCCTGGGACAGTGGGAGGTGTCCCTGCCATGGCAGGGGTGGCACTGGGTGGGATTTAAGGTTCCTGCAACCCAAACCATTCTGTGATCCTGTGCTGTCTTTTATTCAGAACAGGCAAATTTATTTAAACACCTTCAACTGACAGATGTGTCACAAGATAAATTTCCTGCTCACTTGTGCAGGTCCCCTCAGACCTGAGCTCCTGCTCATCTAAAAGAGCTAAACCCAAACTTGGCCATTTTACACTCAGTGTCTATTAAATATTGCCCAGTAGTTTAAGTAATTGGATGATGGATTAATTAAACACCCTTGCAGTTAACCTGCTCACAAACCACATCATGTTTAACCTGTTACTGCAGTCTGGGGAGGGAACCTGCTCCTTCTCCCCTATGGCCTTCACCATATTATACTGATGCTTCACTTGGGAAGAAAAGTAATAGGGAATAATAATTCTAATTACTATTAACGAATAATAGGGAATAAAAACAGGGAATTGAATGGGAATATTTCTAATAGGGAATTAAAACACAAAGGAAACTTGGGAAATCATGAATCTGATGCCCCCCAATCCAGAAGATCCAACCCCTCCTGATGCCTGAGGTAATTTTTCCTCTGAACACAGAATGAGCCCTTACTTGTGAAGCTTCTGTAATTCCTTCTCAGACCAGCCATCGCCCGCCCTTGGAAAGAGTTCCAGAGATTTCTGCCCCCTTGTGTCTCTGGGTTTTGCTGCTGCAGGCCTGGCACTGCTGGGGACTGCATGGTTTGTTTTTATCTGGGGTGCTCTGGCATCGCTGTCCTCGCTGTGCATTTCCTCGGGCTCGGTGTCAGAACGGAGCCTGTACCTGGCAGGGTTGGCTCTGCCCCGAGCCCTCCTGGCCCGGGCAGGCACAAGGGAAGCACTGGACTCAGAGGATGTTTTCCCTTCAGGAGGGGGCTCGGACTCCTCACTGGACTCGGGCCCACTCAGCCTCACCAGCACATTCTGGGAGGGCTTTGCTGTTCTTTGGCCACAGGACTTGTTTGCATCATCCCAGGAACCTCTGGAGCCAGAGCAAGGTTTCCGGTTTTGAGACTCTGGCTTCAATACAGATTTCTTCTTCCTCCTGATCAGCAGTGGGGTGTCCTCACTGGACTGCTCCTCCTCATCCTCTGAGGGCTGCTGGGTGAGGAGAACCCTCTCCTTTCCAGGGAGGCGCTGCTTGGCTGACCTGAGGGAGTTCCTGTAGCCCTGCTCGTACATGCTCAGCTCTGCAGACCCTGCTGCTCTCTCTGCTGCCCCCGGGGCTCTGCTGCCCTGTCTGTCCGGCACCTTGGGCTTGGAGGAAGCCCCCCTGGCAGGGAGCTGGGATGGTTTGGTTTTTGTGCCCCTGCTTCCAGGATCATTCTCCTCCTCCTCCTCCGAAAGGAGCTGCCTGCCCTTGCTGCTGCTGGCAGACCTGGGCTCCCCTCTGCAAGCGGCTCCTCTCTCGCTGCTTCTCCCTGGAAAAGAGGGAGCCAGAGCCCGTCAGGGGTGCAGGGTGGGTCCTGCTGTGCTGGCAGCACAGGCATCTGCACCCCCTCCAGAGCTTTACCTGCCAAACTACAAACTCAGAGCTGCTCTCAAGGGCTCTCCGAAACTCTACTGACTGAGCAGGCACATCCCCAGAGCTCTGCTCTGCTCCAGAGAGCTTTTCTGCAGGAAACATTGCAGCTGCTTTAAGAGAGAAACTTCTGCTTTATATTGCACATTCTTCTCAGGCTTCTATCACCACCCAGATTCTACTAAACCCAAATTTTTATGAAAAACTCTGTTAATAGATTTTTTTTGCCAACATTTCATTTTTTCCATCCATTAAAAAGCAAAGCCAGGCCTCCAGGTCACTGGATTGGTGAACTCCAAAAAGTCCAAATCCCTTCATTTCAATTTCCAGAACGAAATCCCTGTGTTCCCATTATGTACTTAGCAAAGTGATTTACAAACATAGTTCTTGTTTGGAGCTGTGAAACTCCACATGAATGCTACTCTGATGATTCTTCAGAGAAAAAGCAGTTGATCATTAAAATATTTGAATCCTTTCTTTGCATTAACAGACCCAACCCTACTTCTCCAGCATCCACTCACAAGTCCACTGATTCCATCAGTAACTTGAAAATAGAAAAAAAATTTAGTTTTTACCTTTACTTTGGCTTTTTGGCATTTCCTCTGTTGTCTTCATGCCTTCCTTTGGTTTATTCTTGGAGATGAACCTGGTCTTTCTTTTGGGTTTTTCACTACTAGGCATCTTCAAAATAAAACAATTGACTCTAAAATTAAATTAATCTCCTTTTCTCTAGGCTGAGCCCCTTTCCCAGCTCTGTTCCCTTCCCTGGAAATGCTCCAAACCCTCAGAGTCTCTCTTGCAGTGAAAGGCCCAGAATGGACCCCAGGATTCGAGGTGGGACCTCACCAAATTCCTGTCTGATACAATCACCTTTCAAAACACCCCCAATTTTTTCCCTAGAAAGAATTCCCCATTATGTCAGATTTAGAGACCACAATTACCTGATAATATGGACACAAGACTAGTTTGTGGTGTGTTTTCTAATATTTTGATCGTGTTTCCAAGATTTCCTTTCTCTTCAGGTGTGTCTAAGAGCTGCCCCTGTTCTGTTCCCCACCTGGCCAAGTTTAATAATTCTATTTAAGTCACACTCAAGAGGATCTTACCAGGTTCAGATAATCCACCCATCCATCTTGTATGGTGACATTCAGCTCCTGATCCACAAACTCCCTCTGCCCACACCAGAAGTTCATGGGGGGTTTGACGAGGCGCCCGCTGCGGGTGTAGACCATGCTGGAGTCATTCCTGGAGGTGTGACTTGGTGTTATGACTGCAAGGCAAAAAAAGCCCAAAGAAACAAGAGTTTTGTCCCAAATATTGCATGGACAATTCAGTTTAGCAGATTTCACAAGCAGAGGAACAATGTTGTGTTTAAACTGGACTACAAGGGAAATGTAAAATGTACCCAAAGTTGTTCTTTTCAAAGCATTGTGATAGAAATAACAGGACTGAAGTAAGAAGCTTCCCAAATGATCAAATTTACTGTGGTGAACTTTTTATTTTTACTTTGTTTAGAAGGTTATAAGTACTGTGAAAGTTGTTTGACAAGGGAGAACGACAAAGAAAAGTTGTCACATGGAACAGCTGCTCACTGAGACAAATGAGAGTGAAAACTAAATGGGAGTGATGAGAGAAAAGCATAAAAGCTTTTGCAGTGCTAGCAAGAAAACCTGATTCCAGCAATAACAAACAGCACAGTGGGGTTTGGGAAAGGCCCATTGGACAAAGACCCCAGAAAAAGTTAAAAGTTAAATCTGGGTTAAACCCCAGAGCTGTCAATGCCTGTGGCAAGGCAGGGACTGCACTCAAAGGCTGAGCCAAACCAGAGGGCTTTTACAGCTTTACAGCCATTTCCTGGAAACACAGCCAGCACAAGGAACCTTTCCACAGCCCACTCCAGCCACCCCCAGGTGTCTTTTCCAAAGGAAAGGATTGTAAAATACTCACAGATGTTCTCATGGTTCTCTGGTGATGCCTCATAGGTGGAGTTCCTCAGTGCAGGTTTCTTGGCTTTGCTCACTGAGCCTCCTGCAGGTTCCAACACATCAGTTCCCCCCATGGAGTCGTTCTCCTCCCCTCCACTCTCTTGAACTCGCTCTTTCCTGATGGTTTGGAGTTTGAGACAAGAAATAACAGCCACTGAGGAAGCTGTTCTTTAACAAACAGGGAAGACCTGAAGCCCTGGTGGGCAGGAGCCTGGTGGGCCAGCCCAGCAGAGCGGCCTCATGCCCACATCTAAAACATTTCACACTCCTCTGGTGTAATACCCTCAAAAAGAAAAGTCTCAATGAGCACTTAGAACACTGCAGGGATAGAGAATCTCCAAAGAAGTTACCTCCTCCTTTCCTCAAGAAACTCCTCCACGTACTCCTTCCACCTTCTGGAGAAGCCGAACGTGAACTTCTTGATGAAGCGGTAGGGGAACCCTGGGGGGAGCACAGGGGACATGAAGAGCAGCTCAGCAGGGCTGGCATCCCTCAGGGGACACAAGGACCCCCAGAGAGCAGGGCTGGCATCCCTCAGGGGACACAAGGACCCCCAGAGAGCAGGGCTGGCATCCCTCAGGGGACACAAGGAGCCCCAGAGCCTGTTAAACCCAAACAGCAGAGGAACTGACCCACACAGTCCCACCCAGCACACTCCAGTCAGTCACTCAGCTCTAGGAAACCTCTGCAGCACTAGAGCCACTCTGCTCACAAGCCTTATGCTGCTACTTTTCCTTCTCAGAATATTAAAATAGAAATAAATATAAGTTCTTAGCAAAGAAAGTAATAAAATCTTCAAGTCAGAGAGCAGCCAGAACAAGTATTTATCAGCAGGGACCCCAGTGCAGCAAGTGAGAAGGAAACACTGAAGTCACAGACACTTCTTTGGGCCTGAAAGAGCCAACAGTGAAGGTGTGTTGGGTAAAAAATGGTGCAACACACCTGGGGCACACCTGTGCTAGGGGAAATAATGCTGAGGGAATGGCTGGGGCTGGAAGTGGGGTGAGGCTCAGGCTGGAGATCAGGAAAGGTTCTTCCCCAGAGGGTGCTGGCACTGCCCAGGCTCCCCAGGGAATGGGCACAGCCCCGAGGCTGCCAGAGCTCCAGGGGGGTTTGGGCAGCGGTCTCTGGGCAGGGACAGGGGTTGGGATGATGATCCTGGGGGTCCCTCCCAGCTCAGGATATTCCATGATTCCTTCCAGCCATGCCACAGAGTATCTCTGTGTCCTCAGAGCTGCCTGTGAGCACTGACAAGCAGCTCATTCCCAGCCATTGTGCCAGAGGAGCACACAGAGCAAGCAGAGGAGAACAAATCCTATATTTGAATCTGCATGAAAACCCCATTTCCTTACAAAGCCCCCATGCTCCAAACCAAGCTGAGGCAGTTTGTCATTTGTAAGGCATTCAGAACCAGCAGCTCACCTTCCTTCCTCATGGCAGCTGAGTCAATCTTGCCCTGCAGCAGGTACACAGCTCCCGAGGAGGTCTGCACCTGGTTGTGAGTGACGCGCTCCGTGACGGCGCTGCTGTGCCACAGCAGCTGCCTCATGTCCCTGCCAAAAGACACAAGAGAAATCACTCCCAGGAAGGATTCCAGCCTGGAATGCTGGCACTGCATGCAGGGGTGGGGATCCCTGCTTCCTGAGGGATTCAGGTGCTGGCAGGATGTGCTCTGGGCTCAGGTTTCCTCTCTGACACTGGGGCAGGGGACAAACTGAACGTGTCACTGCTGCAGGTGTCACTCACGGGACAGCAGCACAGCTTGGACGGGGCTTGGAGCAGCCTGGGACTGTGGGAGGTGTCCCTGCCCTTGGCAGGGGTGGGGCTGGATGGGCTTTAGGGTCCCTCCCAACCCAAACTGTCCAGAGCTATTTGATATTTGATTGATTTCCCTGAACCTTTCTGATTATCTCAGCACAGGACTCTGAAATGAGCTCCCCAGTAGTTCCCTGGATGCTCTCCCTCTCTTGCCCACACAAAGGAATTGTGTCTTCCTTGATAAAGCAGTCTAAGCTCTGCACCATTACCTCATGTTTGGTGTCCATGGTTTACCTTACAGTTAAATAAAAAACTGGTTCTTACTTCCTTTTCCCTTCCACACAGATTGCCGTGTTTCCAGCCAGCACTTTAATCCTCCAGCTGCTCAGGCAGATGGTTTTCTTTTCCAGAAAAAAAAACATAAATAATTTTGAAGTATTTATTATCCAGCACTCCTCTGTGATCAGATCCAATAACAAAAACAACTCTTTCAACATCTCCTAAGCTACAAATCTGATCTATTAGAGGATATCTGATCCTCAGCTCAATCCTGAAGGTGACTTAGTTTAATTCAGGAAAAACATCAAACACTCTTGGCCATGGTGAGGGAGAACAGAACAAGTCCCCTGCAATCCCAGATTTCCCCAGGGAACAAGGGAAGCCTTGGGCAGGAGTGCTTGTGCCAGGCTCCCAGGGAAGCCCAAGGACTTTCCCAGGATGTCCTCAGAAAGGGAGGGATGCTGCAGGCTGCACACTGCTCTCCTAGGAAAAGATTCTGCTCCAGTTAAATTGCACAGGAGTCTGGGTGTTCCATAGCAAAGCCAAGCCCTTCCCCTCTCCATCAGCAGGGCACGTTCCTGGATGGATTCATGCCCAGCTGGGAAAGGTCTCTCCTCCCTGGAGCTGAGCAGGCAGCCAGGAGCTGGCAGGGCCCATGATCCCACCATGGCTTGTACACACTAAACCAAATGTGCTTCTTTTACACAACAAACCCCAAACCCTGAACATCTGTCATCTTGGAGTATGGAAAAAAAACAACCCTTTGCATGGGAAAATATACTGCTAAAATCTAAAGGAGTAACAGCTTATCCTCCTCTCAGTGTTCCTGGCTTTTGACAAGAAAAAGAATAACTTCAAGCCATCAGCCCAGAGGAATTGCTCATTTGCCCTCAAGGATTATTTTCTCCCACCTCTTTGTGTGCTTTGCCAGCAGGTTGATCAGCAGCAGCTTTATCCAAAGGGACCTTGGGGTCTTCTGCCCGCTTCTGCTTCCTTGGAATGTGGATTGGAGAGGAGAGCAAGATGCTACAGAAGGGCTGGGAGAGGTTTGCAGGATTGGTCTCTGGTGCCTTTTCCACAGCTGGAGCAGCTGGTTTTCTGCTGGGCTGCAGCTCTCTCCTGTCCTCAGGAAGCTCTGGACGTTTTGCTTCTGCCTTTCCCCACCTTCCCTTTGCCTGATCCCCGTTTTCCCAAGGGCTGGATTTCACTTGCAGAGGAGAAGCCACTGTTCTTTGAGACATTTCTCCATCAGCATCTACCTCAACAGACTCCACCAGGAAAACATCCACATCATCCTTATCAGAGTCCAGCTCCCCTGCAGGCCCAGTCCCTGGCTGCTCAGCACAAGCAGCCTGGACTGAAGGATTCTCTGCACTTCTGGAAGGAGGAACATTCTGCTGGGTTTGGGTTGAAGGTGGCGTAGCTGCCCATTTAAAGGGAAAAAAAAGGAATAACAAAGAAATGAGGGATATTTAAGCATGGCAACAGGCTGCCCAGGGGGTGGGGGAGACCCATGCCAGGAGGGATGTAAAGCCCTGTGGATGTGGCACTTGGGGACAGGGGACAGTGCTGGGGGAACAGCTGGACTTGATGGCCTCAGAGGGTTTCCCAGGCTCAGCAATGCCAAGGTTCTCTGCCTGGAGGGAGTTTGTGGTCCCAGAGCAGCCCCAGTACCTTGGTGCTGCTGCTGCAGCTGCCACTTGACCCGCAGGAAGAACTTCTGGGGGGATTCCAGCACTGCAGGCTCTGCTGGGGGCACTTCCAGGGGCTCCATCCTGGGAGCCTGAGGCAAAACTGGCTCTGGAAAATAACCAGACAAACAAACCCCAAACCCCTCTTTTGATTTGGGGAAGAAAAACATTTTCATGGGGGGTAGGAAATATGATTTTTAAATAGGCTTTTTATTTAAAAAATCACACAGAATCCCAGAAAGGTTTGGATGGGAAGGGACCTTAAATCCCATCCCATTCCACTCCCTGCCATGGCAGGGACACCTCCCACTGTCCCAGGGTGCCCCAGTGTCCAGCCTGGGCACTGCCAGGGATCCAGGGGCAGCCCCAGCTGCTCTGGGCACCCTGTGCCAGGGCCTGCCCACCCTCATTGTAAAAAAAGGGTCACATCCAGCTTGGTGCCAGCTGCAAACCTGCTGAGGCTGCACTGGATCTCACCATGGCATCGATAAAAATACTAAAGATAAAAGCCAGCAGAAAGAGCCCGGGAAAATGCCCCAGTGGGATTTCAAACCCCAAGCAAGGTCCCACGAACCTTTCCCTTCCCTGCACAGACTGTAAGGAATAGTTACAGCAATTTGTTTTGATTTTTTTAGTTACAAGGTGGTTTTGAAGGTGTTGCACGGGTCAAGCCCACTCATGAACACAGCAGAGGGAACAATTAGTGCCAGAGTGAGGCAGAGGAGGAGGAAACCAAAAGGCAGGGAATCCTCTATGATACAGAGCAGGGAAGAGACATCAGCACTGCTACAGACACATTTCAGCACTAAAAAACCCCTCACCACCCAACTGTTTTTAATCCCAGCATCTGGAGTGCAACCACCGATGGTGCCAGTGGTTTTTACACCCATCAGTGTTTTTTACACCCACTAAGGCGCTCTGGCTGCTTTTCCCAGATCTTGAAAGAGCCATGAGTGGGAAACACACAGAGGGAAAATGTTCACACCTGAGACAGCTCTCCTGGAGAAGCTGTGGAACAAGCGTTGCTTCCCAAGAGTGCCCAGGCTCGGGTCTGATGGGTGTTGGTGTCAAGGGGCTTTGTCTCTCCATGGGCCTTCCAAGGAGAAAGGATTATAAGGCAATGAGCAGCAGCATTGAGAGCTTTCCTTTCAAGAGGTGACTCTAGTGTGCTCCAAAATAATAAAAACCGTTTGGGAAAAGGAACTATTAATGATTCCTGTCACTTGGGATTGTGGACGGGTGTAAAGAATTAAAAGGTTTAGCCGAATGTGAAAATCAGGGATGTCACTTACTGCAGCACAAGATGCCTGCAAGTTCTATGAACTAAACTCAGGTTTACACCCTTGTGCTTTTTATTCCAGGTGTTCCGAAGGCAAACACACCATTCTCACGGAGTCACCGAGGGCTCGTGGAACTCACCTGGTGCCGGCTGAGCGCTGCCCGCCCCCCGGGCCGTGCCGGGCCACTGCTGCCGGGCCGCGGGGCTCAGGATCACATCGGTGAGGATCCTGCGCCGCTGCTCCGCCCGCGCCTTCATCCGCTGGAAGATCTTGGCCGGCGACTCCTGCCCGGGCGGCTCCGGAGCGCGGCGCTTCGGCGGCCGCTCGGCGACGGGGCCGGCCCGGCAGTCGGGGCCAGCCCGGCAGTCGGGGCCAGCCCGGCGCTCCGTCCCCGCCACCTGCGGGCCTGACACGCGGCTGTCCGCGGCCGCGCCGCTGCCCGGGCCTGGCAGGAGCTGCTTCAGCGGGGTGAGCGTCCCCGCGGGGATGCTGCTGAGGGACACCGAGCGGAGCGGCGGCTCTCCCCGGGCGGAGCGGCGGTTGGGGGTCGCGATGATGTCGCAGACTCGCCCGCGGCGCTCCCGGGCGGGTCCCTGTCCCCTCATGGCTGCGGATCGGCCCCGCCGGTCCCGCGGCGCTCCCGGGCCGGCCCCGCTCCCCTCACGGAGCCCCGCGCGCAGATTCGAGCGCAGCCGCCGCGCCCGCCCATTGGCGGAACGGAGCGCAACTGCGGGCAGAGACCATCTCGCGCGGATGCGGGGGGTGTTGAGAAATAGAGGCATTGCCGGACGGCGTTGAGGCAGGCGGCAGCAGGCCCGGAGCTCCCCTCTCCTCGGCACGGTGGTTCGGTCCGCCCGTGGGCGGGCTCCGCGGCCGTTGGCGCTGACGCGGAGCGGGGCCAGGGCGGGGCTGAGGCGGGGCCGGGCTCCATGGGAATGGCCGGAACTCACGAAAAGCCCCGGGAGCCCCGTGGGCTGTAGCCGAGGTTTGCCGGAGCCTTTCCGGCGTGCGGGAGCTGCCTGAGCCGCAGGAAGGGCGGAGCAGGGCCGGGTGGAGGCACAGCCCGGCTGCCCCAGCCCCGAGCGCGCCCAGACGGGCTCCAAGGTGAATAACGAGAGGTGCAAGGGGCCGGAGCGGCGTCCTGGCCCCAGTGAGTGTGCAGGGCTGTCAAAAAAGCCATCAATGCACGCTATTAATTGATAAATACTAGGTATAATTAGCGCACTGGAGGCTTGGCAGGCTCTGGTGTGTCCCGGCTGGAAGATTCTCTAGTAGGGGTTCATAGTTCAAGTGGAAAACAGGGGAAGTTACTTGACTAATGCACAAAAAATAGAGGATAAATCATAATCCCAGGTGCACCCAGCAGCCTGGTTCTCCCTGCTAACAAGCAGCCGCAGTGGGATCAGGTGTGTCTGATCCTAAATTAGTCCCAGCAGGTGGGGTAGAAACTCAGCTCTGGATAAGAAATTGCTTCAGTGTGCGCCTGTTAATAATAAACAGCTCAAAAAACAAGGTGTTATTCTGGGGTCTTATTTGCTACTGTGGAGCTTGTTACAGTAATGAAAGACTCGGGTTCGTTACAGGAGGTGCCTGTGCTGATTAGCAGGCCGGGTAATCAAGCGGGCAGGGAGCTCGGAAGGAGCCCCAGGGCTGCAGTGTCGGGACCTGAGGCAGTGATGCCAGGGGAGGGGACCATGGAAACACGGAAGGCATCTCTGATTTCCTCTCCTGCCATTTGTCTCTGTGCTGCTCCTGCTGGAGCCTCCCAGGGAAAAACGGGGCTGGGCACATCTGTGCGTGGAACAGGCAAGGAGACCGTGGAGAAGTTACAGCAGGGATAACAAGCTGTGTTTAGGTGGTACTTCAGTTAAATGTCTGATTTGGGTTTCTGATGCACTGACTTCATACAGGTGGCATGGCCTCATTTGGTTCATTTGTCCTTAAAAAGCCTAAAAAATCCATTCAATCTATCATTTACTCCTTATATTTAATTATCTCTTAGTTCTCCCATAGTTTCTTAACTCCTTATCTACTCAGCTTTTGCCTAAATGATCAAAAGCAAAGAAAATTCGTTTTGCCCCAGTTACTTGCAGAAGCCACCATTGTGCTTCCTTCCAGGAACAAAAAAAGAATCCACAGAAAGTCGAGTGAGGAGAAATTCCTTCTTTCCAGGAGCACACGTGTGTGTGAGATCTGTGGGTGTAATTTGGGTAGCTGTGCAATTCCTACGAGTTTTGTTAGAATTCCTAAGCTTGGTCAGCATGGCTGAGCAGGTCCCTTCTTGTTTGTGTTACCAGAAGCCAGTGGAGCTTCCCAAATGGAATCTCGGATTTGTTGGGGCTGGAAGGGACCTTAAATCCCCCCCAGTGCCAGCCCTGCCATGGCAGGGACACCTCCCACTGTCCCAGGGTGCCCCAGTGTCCAGCCTGGCCTTGGGCACTGCCAGGGATCCAGGGGCAGCCCCAGCTGCTCTGGCAATTCCAGCCCAGCCAGGAATTCCCAATTCCTAACATCCCATCTAAATTTCCCCTCTGGCAGAAACACTCTTTTTTTCATAAATGACATTTCTTGAATCATTTTTAAGCTTGTTTGCTGTTTGTTCCACAGAGGAAGAGAATCAGTTCCATTATTCAGAGAAGACAGACTAATCCAGACTAAGCAGGAAAAGCTGTTGAGGATAAAAGAGTTCACCTGATTTTTGTTGAGTGTGGGTGGTTCTGGGGCAGAGCAGGTGCACCTGGAGACAATAAATGCAAATTTAGCTCAGGGCCTCTGAGTGACTTCTCAGCTTCATCAGCTGCTTGTGCTGTGGGCTTAAAAGGAGAAAAGTGGATTTTACTGGGGTTTATCCACGTGGAGCTCAGCAGTTCCCAGAAAGGACCTAAAACTGGGAGTGAGTCCTGCTGCTTCTCTTTGGGAAGGTGGCTGATGCCAATCAGAGCCTTCATGGAAAAAAAAAAAAAAAAGAAAAAAGAATTAATCATGGGGCAAGGATGATGATTGCATTGTGAAGAGTTTTCCAAGCCCCCCTTCCACACTTGTGCCTCTTTAGTTTGTAGTGCAGGTGCAACCTGTGCAGCTGCAGAAATTCAACCCCAAAAGTCTGTGGTGTACATTGTACAGCCCAGGCACTTCAGTGAGATCTGTGGTGTGGGGTTCAACTGGGGAAAAACCCCAAACCCCCCTTGCATGCTGTTTTTCTCTATTTTTTCATGGAAATATTTAAGGTTTTTCCCTTTTTTTTGGAGGTTCCTTTGACAAGTCTTGCCAATTAATCAATCGATCCTGTAAATTATAGATATTAAGTATAGAGGTATAAGAATAAATGTTTATTCAGTGTTTTGGGATCTTAAATCAATTAATTGCATGTCTGGAAGCAAAAGCCAAATGTTTCTTTTGTTTGGAGCAGCTGGAAGAAAATACTTATATTTCTTTTTTTTATACATATATAGGTTTGGTTTATTAGTGACTTTAAAATGCAGAAATACAGAATAATCTTCATTAAACCTAAGGAAACCTTGTCCTGCTGGATTTATTGTATCTCAGACTGACAGAGCACCCCACACTGTGCTTAGGGTGTTTTATTTCTTCTTTTCCTCCTCTGGGTTAGGATTATTCATGTTCCCAGCCAGCAGCTCAGGGGGTGGAAGGAGAGAGTGGGAAAGGAGGTTGTGCTTTAGGGATAGCAGAAAAATAATGAATTAAAAAAAAATGAATTATTACGAGCAGCTGTGCCTGGGCTGGGGTTCCCTTTGTGAGGTGTGAAAAACACCTATCACTTGTTTTTGAAACTTTAGGAGTTTAATAGTAATAAAATGGTTAGTTTAATTGTAATAAAATGGTTTGTCCTGATAATGGAGCAATAAATTCTCTTTCTCTGAAATATTCAGGTGTCCTGTGGCTGCTGTCTGGTGTGAGTCCTTTCTTTAAAAAAAGTACCTTACACAGCACAGTTTCTATTTTAACATTTTGTTATAGCCTAAAACTATATTTAACACACCACTTAAGAGAATACACAATATCTTTCTAACATAACACATATAATGTTCATTTGCATATTTGTGAAAAGCCAATCATAATATCTGCATTTTTACAAGGTGGAATTTGCTGCCTGCAGGCGGTGGGTGCTGGACTGGAGCTCTGCAGGTGTGTGAAAAACACCAGTCCCTTGTTTTTTAAAATTTAAAAGTTTAATAGTAATAAAATGGTCATAAAAATAGTAATATAATTAAAGTAATAAGAATTTGGACAATTTGGATTAGGACAATATGAGACAATAAAAACAAAGAGTTATGGACAGTCCAGGTACCTCTTTCTGGGCAAAATAAGCCCGAAAAAGGCCCCAGGTTAACAGAGGATTAACCCTTAATAGCAACAGCCTGTTGCATATTCATACAGCTCATCCATGGTGCATAAATTCCATTCCAACACAGGATTCTGTCTGGGCAGTGCCAGCTGCTTCCTCTGAACCCTGACGGTGTCTCCAGGGCTGAGCAGGCAGGAAGAAGTTCGTTTGTGCTGATAATGGAGCAATGAATTCTCTTTCTCTGAGAGATTCAGGTGTCCTGTGGCTGCTGTCTGGTGTGAGTCCTTTCTTTAAAAAGTATCTTACATAGCATAGTTTCTATTTTAACATTTTGTTATAACCTAAAACCAAATTTAACACACCACTTAAGAAAATTAACAGAGCATAACTTTCTAACACAACACGTATAATATTTATTTTAATATTTGCCAAAAGCCAACCATAAAATCCGCGTTTTTCACATGAGGGAACATTTCTGCCTCCCGGGGGAAGCTGGGGCTGCCCGGCTGATCCAGAGGGAGCGAGCAGCGCCGAGGTGCGGTGGGAGAGGAGCGCTGTCCCCACGAGGTGGCAGGAGCTGCCTTCCACATCCCTCCATCCGTTCCATCCGTCTGTCCGTCCGTCCCTGGCGCTGTCCCGCTCCGCCTGGGCTGCTCGGGAGCAGAGCTGGAGCGGCTGCAGGCAAGTGTCGCTATAGGACCCTGTGAAAAACGCACATTACGTGGCTCTGTGCAGATATTTACTGTGTGTACTTTGTTGCATTGATTAGTAGTGCTGTATAAACATTTTAATAGTGTGGTAAATGTAGTTTTGTAGTTAAGTGTCACTGATATATTTTCTGAAAAATCCCTTCGTTAGGATCTTTTCTCCTGAGAAGCTGGGAAACTTCAGCTTCTCCATGTTTTGCTGCTTTGGAATGTGATTTGGAGAATTGTTTACCCAGCATGTGAAATTGTTTTTACTCAATGACAGCCACCTGTGTTGAGGCTGTGAGCACTCACAAGATTTTATTATCATTCCTTTCCTTTCCTTTCCTTTCCTTTCCTTTCCTTTCCTTTCCTTTCCTTTCCTTTCCTTTCCTTTCCTTTCCTTTCCTTTCCTTTCCTTTCCTTTCCTTTCCTTTCCCTCCCTTTCCTTTCCCCTCTGATGAAATCCTTTCTTCTATTCTTTTAGTGTAGTTTTAATATCTCATTTTCATTTAATATATCATAAAATAATAAATCAGCCTTCTGAAACATGGAATCAAGATTCTCATCTCTCCCCTCACCCTGGGACCCTGTGAACACCAGCACAGACCCAGCAGGCCACAAGGCTGGGCAGGCAGAACCCTGGGGAGGATCAAGGTGTGTTTGTATGCAGAAAATGCAAAACCTGTGT